ATGGCAGGGAGAAGCGATCGTATCTGACCGCGGGAGGAATCCTCCCAAAATCAGATACGATCGACCTCGGTCATTTCTCTCCCTTCATTTCGTGTAGCTCATATCAAGGAGATAGTATGAGGTATGAGACGCTTGTCCAGTCCGAGAATGTGGACTGGACGAACGTCCTACACCTAGGAGACAGAGAGGCTGTAGCAGGCTAATTCGCGAACCTAGCGGCGGTTCTGCTGCTATTTATGCTCCCCTCAGATCGGGTAGGCGTGGCTGCGTACTTGATTTTAAAATGGCGTCGGCCCAGGTTTTCGTGAGATATTGTCATTTCGGAGCAGTCGTAATCATGTCTACATATAGCACAGAACAAGATAGCAGTTGTTTCAAATTGAAGTATCCCACGAGAAACCCGTCCTATGCCATGCTCAAAAGCCACGCCTACTCCGTCTCAGGGATAAGGAGTGTAAGTCAGAAACACGGGCAGCGTGAGCGTAAGTGAACGAAGATGACGCAGTAGAATTTCAAGACGTATATTATCACTCTCTGCACAAATAGAAAACCTTGAGAAGTAGCCTTCCATGAAAGGCTTTTGAGCTTCGAAAACTTCTATGAAGCCATTGCGTACCCGCATTGTGAAATCTGCTCTAACGCTCTACAGTAAGTAGAAGCCAAAAAAGTTGCCTTGGTTTTTTTTGAACAACTTGTTCAAAATGTTGCCGGACTTTCTTTTAACATACCATTGATCAGAGCAATGGGGCTGAGGGGGAGTTGAAAAAAAAGCAATTTTACTCACATTTTTCCGTTTCTGGGGATCCAAAGCTATCCCTAGAAACTTGGACTGCACGGTCATGAGCGCCGCCGATGTCGTGCACTGAAATTTTTCAATGAGATAGATCTTTTTCTAATTGAAAAAGCTCAACTACGAAAACGAGTACTAGAGCTCAAGGTTACGGTATGATACTAGAGAAAAAACTCGGGACAAGCCAAATAGCAGATTTTTTGTCGGATTCTTATTCAACTTTCTTCGCCGTGAGCAGAATATTGCCTTCGCAGACTAAGTGGGTCAGAAACTATTTTCAAACCGTGAAAAAACCTCAGGCACACGTAGAAGTACCGTCATGCCCCACCCCGCAACTGGCGGGGCGTGCGATGCGGCGCATAATGGGGTGCCAACAAGGCAGCCTTTTTGTAACGGCTACGTGACATCTTGGTTTTTTTGTGCATGATTGTTGCGAAACCGAAAAAAGCAGTCAACGAGGACAGCGCCCACCAATGTATTGCGATAGCAGGAAAATGGCGAGCGAGGAAATGAGCTTTTTCAAGGGGAGGAGGACTCCGGGACGAAGTCACAGTGACCATAATGTGCCACGCTGTTGAGAAAGAGCAGAGAAAAACACAAATTTGACGTGTCCAAAGAAATTGAGTTCAAGTTGTCCGTGGACCTTTTCTAACAGTGTTGCCATCCTGAGCCTGCTCATATTAGTGGATAATCTGCCCTGGTTGCGCATCAAGCCACGCCGCCGTCCTATGCCCTGTCGTTTGCAGGATCATGACTACACATGAAGAACTCCAACAACCGGTGATGAAGTGAGATTGCACTTTAATCCCATCCAACAAGAACTTATTCGGATACCCACGGATATCCAATAGATCCCTGCGGAGTAGGAGAATGAAGGCTATAGTCAGGTCTAATGACACCCAAACCTAACATGAAGCATTTTAAAGTCGTTATTTGTGTTGTGATTTTGCCGATTATTTGTTCTTTCACTGGTTTGCTGATGAATAAAAAAGCTACTCTGCCTAGCAAGTCTATGATTTCTTCAAGAGGAATGGTTTATCGTAGCTATCACAAGAATGCTGAGTTATGGGCAAAAGTCGGACCACGGCCGGGACAGAAGATGCGGGTTCGAGTCCCGCCCGTGGTCCGACTTTTGCCCATAACTCAGCATTCTTGTGATAACTTTCGTATCGCGCACTGCGGCGTTAAACAGCAGTTATCAAACAACAGCTATCGTAGCGACCAACCGCGGTCCCATCAAAATAAAGATTGATGACTGGTTATTCAAAGGAAGAATGACAACTTCCCCCACGGAGAGCGTGGAAATTCTGAATTTCACGGAGAGTGCAAGCAGAAAAAGTTCTTTCTTCAATTCAATCAACCCACATCAACACTCTGAAAGAAATGGCATAATCTTGTAAAATACTTCATGTAACACTAACCATTGTGCGAGCCCATGTCACTCTCAACCACCTGCCGCTGCGATTCTAGATGGAAGCTAAGCGCAGGCGTATAAGGCGAAAAAGCTTGTCGATTTTGGCTTTCTCTTCGCATCATCCAGAAGGGCAACAATGGGCTCCCACGTTCAACCGGGAACTAGAAAAGTGTGTGCAGCTTACTGAAAGATCCGAACTTAATAGCACATTCCGTGATTACCTGTGAGGTGGAGTCCTTCCCGCGTATTATTACAAAAGCACTTCCCACGATTGCACAACATGGCTAGCAAGTTTTAATAACAGGAGGCATTGTGGCCGACTTAGTAGTGAAGAAAAAAGTATGAAAAACCGTGCTTAGCATACCCTCCTCCTTCATCATGATCATCGACGAGAATAGGATTGACAAGATCAACAGTGATATGCAGAAAGTGATGATGCACGGCTAATGCCGTTTGGACTCCAGAAATTTCGTCTTCGAGCTCATTTTCAAATTGCCTAAGTCACCAAATCCACTAAAAACTTGTATATAGGGGTAATTCAACATCCTGATTACGAGTATGACACTCATTCTTGGCGCTGGCGCCAAGAGAGGACACTACGATTACCTCCTGGGCTCAGCCTTAGCAGAGCGCAGGTAACCGTAGTGTCATCCATTAGCGCCAGCGCCAAAAATGAATGTCATATTCGTGATCAGGATGTTGAATTACCCCTATATACAAGTTTTTAGCGGATTTGGTGATCTTGCCACTTTTAAAATGAGCTCGAAGACGAAATTTCTGGAGTCCAAACGGCATTAGCCAACTGCAAAGCGCAGAGAGAGCAGACAATGAAGGGCGAGAGAGCGCAACGGTGCTAATACGACATGGGCAAGGTAGGCCGGCATGGGCCTCCTTGGGCCTAAAATCGAAGTTTACTGTGCTTTGCGTGCCATTTTGCAAGTTTTGAATGCAGTGCAACCTCTAATCGCCTACCAGGATCATCTGACACATTTAAAAGGTTATAGCCTTAGTTTATTGCGGAAAGTACCTTTAAGTAGGTTCAAATTCACTCGGGTGAGCCACTTTCTGCATACAATAGTGCACGTCAAGGGCGTTAGGAGCTTGCAATGTTAGACCCCCTGCGCCTACAGTAGAAAGTTGTGTGCGAATCCGTAGCTCTCATTCGCTCGTGTCCGCTTTCTTCTTGAGCGTCTTTGCACCTCCACCCATCGCATGCCTATTCAACTCCGAAAATTGACTGGCTTCATTAGAGGCGTTTTCTGAGGTAGTCAGGCTGTTCTTTTCTGCGCTTGAAAATCGAGAACTCTCTCATAATAAACAGCGTAATTCAACTCAAAATTTTGCGCAAAAAATCCAAGAGTTTGCCATTTTGCCATGTAACGCTGAAAGGCAGTTGGCACGATGATTTGGTACTCGGCCTCAAATGCTAGTAAGCATCTGAGGCCGTACCAAAT